AAGCAAAGGCAGGGGGGGCAAATGGAGGAGGGCAACTTGTTCCTTGAACAAGTGGAGGGTTCTCCAAAAAGCTGAACGGACAGATTTTGCAGCTTGCAGGCCTGGCTTCAATTCGTTCTGCGCATCTGGATATGGACAAATGAAGTGCCGGATCGTCCGACCATCATCTTCCATGCAAGTCCCAGATAATCGCACGATCTTGATGCCGTAGCGATGCCCAAACTTCATGTCTGCCAGCTTCCACTCTCCTTAGTTTTAAGAATAGCAGCAACATCATATGGGTATGTGGTTTCCCCACCCCAAAAAGGGCTACCCGTAGCCACGCACCCACCTGTTCAGCCGCGCCGCTATCTCTGGCTGAGTCCGGGACTGTGAACTTCAAGGTCGGAAGCCGGATCATGGCAGCCTTGAGCGCTAAAAGCTAAGAGGACTTGCTCTAGTTGCTTCGGATAAATCCGGAGGACCTCACCAGAGGAACCCTGAAACTAGATCATGTTTGACTGGAACATAGTTTTTGTCACAGTTTAAACTAATTGGAAGCTAATATCATGTGTGGTCTCGGCCAGAGTTAAGCCCCATGCAAACAAGCTATGTTGTGCCGACAAAGAAGGGAACAACCGAAATATATAACCCATATATGTATAATACATATATGTATAATATGTATATATACGTATAATATATATATATATATATTCAAAAAAACAAAACACGTAAAGGATTACGCTGGCTGGCAACATGTCTGCCATCAGTTGAGGTATCGGTTTTGCCCATCCGTTTCGCGGACTTTGATGACTTTGCTAACCCCAAGGCGCCCAGAATATTCCCGAAGGGTACCGATGATTCTGTCAGATACTCGTATACTATGGTGTGCCTCCCCGAGAAAAAAAAAAAAAAAAAAAAAACTACCAAAAGGAGTTTCTACACGCGCACACATAGACACACACACACACCCCTCTATGTTGCCAACTGATCCAGGGAGCGTGGCCAACCCGGTCGGCTCGTGATCGATCTCCACGGCCAACTCGCGGCTATGAGCCGATGTCGCCGGGTTTCGGGCGGAATCCCAGCAGTGCTCCAGTGCTGAACCCCTTCTTGGGTTTTTGGAGTCTTCTGATCCAAGGGGGTTCTGAGACTCTAAAAACGTTTGGCCGCACTGAGCAATGTGGAATTCAATCGAGTGCCAATTGAAGGGACATGTGTTGAAACACGTCTAAGTCCATCAGCAGCGAATGATGGAATGTGGATTTTTCGGCTTATCGCCACGAAAGTGGCCTGGCCAAGGCAAACTCCTTTGTGGTTGACACGCAAAAAAGAAACAATTTGCAAAAATGTCCCTGAGTGCCTTACATCTTTCTCCAAGCCGAAGCTTGTTTCCCAGGAACCTGCTGCGCAGGGCCCAACGACTGACTGTCAACGAAACATACAGCAAGTTACCCAACCATGGCCGGACTTCCGACCATAAATTGATTGAATTGAAAGAGCTCTCAGGGTGTTGGCAGACCATCCTCTTCAGAAGGCCCCTGGTCAACTTCCATGATTGGAAAGAGTCTGCATCCGTCACGCACCAAGGATTTGCCCAAACCTTGCTCTTTGCTGACACATGTAACAGGCGAAGAACATGCGAAGGCAAGCAAATAGGATGCCCATTGCCCAACTTGGTGAAGATTTCCACCCTAACAAATCCACGCCCCCCTCCCTTTCCTGCCGGTTCATCATGTCAAATGACCCCTCACTACCGCTGTCTTGCAGGCAAAGTAAAATCTTGCACCGCACCTGACAGCTCGAAGTTAAATCTTTGACGCGCAGAACGTAACAAAAGCGAGGCAGCCGAGCAAATGCAAGACTTCGCGCAAGGCATTGGCTCTAATGGCAAGCACAGCTTGATCTCCACGAGTCTCCCAAGTCATGCCGATAATGCCACTGTCGACTCACCAGCCACACTTGCGCAAGCGGCAAGTTAAAGGAAGATAGCTTGCCGAAGCGCTCATGTTTGAACTGCACGGATAACAAAATGTCGGCCAACATCGGCGCCAAACTTAGCGCGGCGGTGGCTCAAAACATGGGTCGCGCAGGTGCCCGGATCTCACTTGAGGTCAAACATGGCTTGTCCTGAGCAATTGTTGAAGCGTCCTTTGTGTTTGGCCACTGCAAAACAATGTCGGCACAGCACTGAGCCAAGCGTGTGACGGCTTTACGTGTCAAGTTCTATCAGTGAATTCCATGCAAGTGTCATGTGTTTGGTTGGTTTGTCTGATTTCTGCACACAAGTTCAATCCACTCTGGTTGGCTCGCGCCGGCTCAGTGCACATGCACCACAAAACTCCACGGGTCCGGGCTCACAGGCTCAGGACCACCCCCGGCTTCTCTGTACAACAGAGGTGACCTCAGCAAATTCTCCGGGTTTTCCAACGGACCTGTTGTTTGACCTCCATGTTACCTTTTGGTGATCTCAAAAAACACATAGGGGTCGACAAAAACTGTGAGCAAATATTTTGCAGGCACAACTTGGTCTGTAAAATTGGGAACTCCCCCGGAGGTTTGGGGGGGCCCTTGGTGACACGTCGAATGCCCATGAGGGGTGGGTCTGTATTCTTGACAAAGTCACCTTAGTCCGTTGATACCCCACTAAAACTTGAAGGTTGAGTGAGATATGCCGTGAATCCCTCGCTCTAAAAACAAAGTCTAAGGGTACAGCTGGAAACTGCCAGGTTAGCAAATGCCTCACAAATGAACCTGCGGACGAATGCAAATACAGGAGAGTCTTCAGGCTCCCGAAAGAATAACACTTAGATTGTCAGGAAACTCCATAAGGAGTGTGCACCCTCACATCTTGAGGGGATTGTCCAAACACAATTGTGTTGCTTCCCAACATGACCTTCCAAACACACAAGTCCGAGAATCACAAAGTTACCCCGTTTTCACCCTCGCAGGCCCCATAAGGGACGCCCAAGGGCAAAAGGTGGATGAGAAGCCCGGCGAACATGCAACTCTGGGCACCTGCGCCTCAAGTCGCAATGCGACATGGGGTTGTCTCATGGTGGAATCATGTGGTGTCCACGTGGATTCCATTTAGATCAAAAACTAAGGGATGTGTTCCATGTGATGTCCATTTCAGTCCAGCATTTTCCTGAATGTGTTCATTGAAATTCCAAAGGTTAACCCCACCCATAAGCCGAGCACGCTCTGCATCCGAGGCGCTCAGAGCATCCAAAGGCCATCCAGTTTTGACCGAGCAGCCGGATGCCGGAAGCCAGACGGATTGTCTGCTACGGCTTTTGACCTACACACCCAGAGGGTCCAACTCTCTTTTACATATTTTACGTTTCTTCTTGGGGTTGGACCCTTAGGGATGAACTGCTCACGCCCTGCCATCCATCACCGATAGGGCTAGGGCCTCGAGCTGCTCTGGAGCAAATGCGCGATTCAAGAAAGGAGTCCGTGACTGGGCCTTGAAAAATCCGCGGCCAAACGAAACAGCTAAGCTGTTTTGAACTGGGAAGTTGGCGTCTTTTCTGCTCGACAGAGCTTGCTCGCGCTCAATAGATTTGCCTTTTGTGCGGCTTCCCACACGCTAGGCACTTTTATGGAGGGTCCGGGCGCACTGCCGTCAAAGTCACGTCCACTGAGTCAGCGCTTGGGCTGCTAAAGCATGAGGTCATCATCATGAGAATGCAAAGGTACAGCAGCCGTCGCCAGCGACGAGAGCCTGGGCCAAAAACCGCGGGGCCAGGGGGGTTGGGGCGTTGGAGAGTTGGGGAGGAGGACTGAAGAAATGCGAAAAACATCAGATCTACATGTCGCACCTGTCGCAGAGCTGGGAACGTGGCCAGCTGCTGTCCAAGCAGTGCGAGGCCTAGAGGCGAACATCTGCACCCGTGTAGGCGTAAGGAACATCCCCTCCGGAACCTGCCCCTAACAAGCCCAACCCAGGATTGGCAATTCTTATCGCATAGCTCGTCGCTGTTGGGGAAGAAGCAAGCAGCAAATGGTTACATCACTCCACAAGTGTCCATCAGCCAACCAGCTTGCTCCAAGCCATATCCCAAGTGCCTAACACAAAAGCACATCTGTGTTACAAAGCGATCCTCTGACTTTTCACTGGAACAAGTGCATCCTTCAAGGGACCTTGTTGGTGAAACACGTAACGAGGCCTTGCATGGCATCGATCCCTTGCAAACCTCTTCATCACGGTACGGTACTCTTGTGTGGTGGCTTTAAAGGAAACTAAAAGAAAACCAAAAACCATTCTTGGGGTTCCCCTAGTTTAAGACACATGTCAACACGGATCACCGTCGTCAACCCTCCCCCCTCACAGAGGCAACACCTCTGATTGATGTGGAGTTGATCAATCCGAAGCGTGCGTCGCCTGAGCAGCTAACGATAGTACTGACTACTTCCTCATTTGGGTGGCTCACCGCCCTGTTTATTGTTGAATTTGGCATATTGGAGCACCCCGTCTCGCTCTCCCCACATAAACCATAGGCTACCAATAAGTGAATTGTCCATTGCTCATTTGAGTCCCTACCAAAACCCGGCACCCAGAGTCTATTCAAACCCATGTGGGTATGCTTCCCAAAACAGGGGGACCCCCAAAATGGTGGGTTGTCCTTTTGATTTCCGCTTCAACCAACCTGAAAAGGGGGCCATCAAAAACTCACTGTAAAGATCACCAAGGGTGGCTCCAAGCTGCTCACCTGCCCCTGGGCTAATCTTTGAATGCATCGCTCGGTTAATTCCAAACAGGGTTTCCAGATTCCCCAAAGCCAAGTCTTCGGGCGCTGGCTGAAGGGCCCAAAACCTAAGGCCACCTATAATTCTAGAATTGCAATGGCTCCAAAACTTCCAACTCATTTCGTGATCAGCAAATAGTTGAGGTCTTTGTTTGAGAACTGGACTGAAACCAAGGAGTTACGAAGAAAGAGTTTGGAGAACCCCACGCCGAGGTCTCAGCGTTTGCCTCGGCTCTCGCCGGATTCGGATCTGAGGCTTCCAGGCAC